CACTCTTTGAATCCCATTGTGGCTAATTTACAGCACCAATGTTACGTTTAAAGTAATTAGCTCCTAATCTGACCTTAATCAGGTAAAATTAAAGCCTGAATAGTCTATGATAAAGCTTAATATCTCACCTATAGTTGTACATTTTTCATCTTTGCTTTCTATGTTTAACGGAGGTCTGATCCTCTGCTTGATCCTTTTATCTAACACCTTAAAAAAGTAAAATAAGCCACATTTCAGCAGCTGGAAAGAAAGATATTCCGAAGCTTAGGTCATTAAGACCAATCAGACAGAATATTAGGATGTATTGGTTTGTTGGTCGTTCCGTACGGCCTCCACTGGACATCTGAATGTGTGCTGTGCTATGGGGGACCAAGATGATAGTGGCAGAACCTTTAAGTTTTTACAATTGTGAGGACTTGTTTGTGAGGAACATCTCTGAGCCGAGTCAGCCTCCTTAATTTCATTCTTCTTCTTGCCTAAAGGTCCTTTAACCAAAGCAGCCTTCTTCTACCAGTTTCCCATAGTGCATCCTGGTTCTATGGTTGCCCTCGGTCACCAGGAAAAGGAAACATGGTTCATGTGATCAGATAGCCTCTTCCTAATGTTCTATGGTCCAGTTTTCATGCTCACATGGCTTCTATCGGTTCTTTTGATCCAAGCTGCAGCTATGTAAGCTTCTATGCAACCACCTGCTGTGCACTGAGTATTCAGACAGCTTTCATTCAGAACCAGCATTTAGTTCCTCACCAGGCTGAGCTACAGTGATCCGTCGGTATAATTGGATCACTTGGATCAACCTTTGATCAATGACCTTAGGCTACCAATTACCCGCTATCAATGATAGCAACACTGCCAGCTCCCCACAAACAGCCTCACATCACAGCTTGGTTCCGACCAAACTTATCTATTAAAACTTGTCCATTATCTATGCTTCTTATTCATCATCTATAAGAGCAGAATGTTAACTCTGAGCCTAAAAACCATCAGGTTCCATGATGTAGAGATAATCAGTGTTAATTCCCAAATTATTTCTAATCTGTGCACATCTATTACTTTAAGAACTTGTCTTATTTGGTTTCAGAAATGTTTTGCAGATAAATTTACACCTGCTTGTTAAGAACAACATTTTTGCTGCACTTTAAAACCCACTACCTGACTCTCTAAGAGCTCCCCCTAGTGGTAAACCAACATCCAATTTACAAGTTTCTTTAACAGCTTCAGGGTTCTACATAATTTTAAGTGTCAGGAAAGTGACATTTTGGCTCATACTGTTTTGTCAGTCTCCAGCAGCCAAAACTCAACATATGTTCATTCACAGTCAGCTTGGTTGCAAAAATCGTCATCTGCCTGCAGTCTGCCTGAGGGACCCAAAGAAATCCTGCAGACTTGTACAGATGATCAACTGAACATTGAACTTGACATCTCGTATCCATCTTCAGCGCTAAACTTTACTAATGTTTGGTTCCGCATGTCATATGTGTCTAGTTTTATTATTTTGAAAGGGCAAATGCATTAAAGCAGGAAAATGTATGATGGGGATGTGGAAAAACTCAACATTTCTAAGGGGAAGCACGATTTTTAAAGGTTAAACACTGGAGATTTATTCAGGAGATTCATTTTAGAGGTTTAAAACAAGCTTTAATTTTTTTTTTGGTTGTGCATCATGGATTGAGGATATAAATAAGAAAAAAAGATAGTTTAGAGGCATTTCTCTTTGGTAAGCATGAAAAAAAATCAATGATATAAATAATATATGCAGTCTGAGTGCATTGACACAATAAATACCTGTTTGATTACATGTTTGCATTCAGCCTTTGACCTTGTAGGTATCGTCAACGTTTAGCAAGAAGTGCTTCACACTCAACATATGCATGCAACTAACAGAATCAAATCAAAGATGCTTGTTTTTTCATTTAAAACGATGAGATCCAGGAGAAAACATGTATTTTATCCAATAAGTAGTTTAAGATTAAATCCCGCAGTGATGTAGATATTGTAAAAGTTTTATTTTCTCCACACGCTGGATTCGTGCTGCAGATTCCTCATTCTGTTTGTCAGCGTTTGCCTTTGAGGCATAGCCTGAATCTGACTGTACCTGCTGAAACCATCAGCACCTCTGATGTGTCAGCGCGCCCTGCAGGCACAGACAGCTCACCCCCTGCTGAGGCCAGCCCTGATGAAAGGATTTCACCAAGCATCAATGAGACTCAAACATGTAAACACGGGGGACTTCCCAGCTGAAGGCAAAGTTTTCTACCTACTCTGGATGTGTGGTTTATTGATCGTTGCAGTAAAAAATCTTGCATAAGCCTTGTAGTAAGAAATGAATAAATATTATAAGATTATTCACATGCAATTATTGTCATATTTACAACGGTGAAAACAGACGAGTTACCGCAGGCTTGTGTTCTGATGTGCTACGTCTGTTTTTCTTTCAGATAGAGGGCGTTCGTGGTGTTTCAGTGCGTTTGTCATAAATATTGCATCAGGTCATCAAATATTCAGCAGATACCCTGTTATTAGTCCACCAAATTGATCTATCACTGCTCATTTACATCAAGCTAATACTTACAGATCTACAGAGTCCATTTCAGAAGTCCTCCAGCTCCCCTTGTGTGGGTTTTAAGCATTCACTAATAAAACTGCCTTTAAATTCTCTCGTGTGTGTTATGCAAGGCGTTTTAAACATGATACAATTAAATATTCCTGAAAGAATTTCCTTTTTTTTGCTATTCAGTAAACTGTATTTACAATAGCTGCTTCTTTTTCTAATGAATAAAAATGTGAACTATATTCATAATCACAAACAATCTCATGCTAAAATTGTGCTTTTCTCTTCTGATAATAGAACTTCGGTGTCTGTGTTGCTGCTTTTAGGTAAATCGTGCAGTCTGTCAGGATAGCATCGGTTCAGTGACAGCATGAGGTAGCCATACTGCTAACAGACCCCAATGGGAACGGTAACACTGACGTACAAATGAGACTGTTGGGACCCAAAGGCTTCGTTTTGGACCCTATGTGTCAGACGATGGAGTTAATGCTGCATCCTTTTACACAAAATGGGTGGACTTGTGAAGAATAGGGTGTACTTGTGTGTCTTGCTCCCACTTAGGGGTGGAAATCTGTTTCCTGTGACCTGAATTAGCTTCTTTCACACCTAGAAAGAAAAGCTAATTAGTCAAAGGCAGTTGCTGAGTCTGTGAACGATGTTGGAACTTGGATGTGGGTATCACTCCAATTCCAAGTTTAGTGTCTTTAGAGATCGGTCTAATTACTAATCTATACAAGCCAAAATAATTCATGCAAATCTTTGCATTAACACATGTTTAAGCAACAAGGTAAAATAAGCAGATATGCCACTTAGGAAGTGTTAATCACTAACCACTGTCAGAGACGCTAATAATACGTCTGTTAGTATAGCTTTCACTTTTTTACTCATGGCAGCCATGTTGAATTTGTCTCCAGCTTTTCAAGTTAACATAAAAACATTTTAAAAAGCCAGTTGGCCTGGTAATGGTGCCTGTCACTACCCAATTCGTCGCAGAAGCATGATCCGTTCTGCACATGCATGAACAGATACACATCTGGGTGTCTATAAATAATGTAATTATGGAACTAAAATTACTTATTTTTCTCCTTAACTCACTAAAGAATGCTAATATTCATCTTTAAAAAATGTTTTAGGACTTTTGTGAGTTAATTTTGGTGATTTTTACATTTTCTTCATTAAACTGCTTCTCTGACATCATCATCATGCTCAGAGCAGTCCGGGAAAATATGATTAAACCATGTTTATCTGCATTTTAGTTGGTTCTTTCGTTAGATTACGCACTATATACCATAAGGTTAAAACCCGTAAAAGTTTAAAATACAATCCACTGGATTTGGTTTCCACTGAAACCAAATTTTTTTTGTTTTTTTGTTAAAGTTTTTTTAAACTTTTACGGAATGACTATGACCTGGATGACTGAGAATCTTCATCAGCATAAGGTTAAAACTAAACGAAAACATAAAACTCTAAAAGACTAGATTTATGTTTAGCTTAGGATCCCGTTTCCGGTGCAGATCGGGCACAGAGTGATAAAACAGAGAGGATTTTAAGGCCTTTTTTTTCTCTGGAAATACATTATTAACCTTTCACACATTATATTTAAGTACTTTTGCTATTGTTGGGGAAGGGAGGTCTTTTTAATTAATTAAAATCTAGGGCGACCCGGATGTATATGAGCTGATGTCGCATGCGCAGGACGTATCGTGTTTCCGGGACAGATTGGGTAGTGACAGTGCCCAACCAAACGTAGCAAATGGAAGTATTAAGCTAAATTTGAACTAAAACACCGTTTGAGGTTTTAGCAACAAATGCTAAACAGCAAAAAATGTGTTAAAATCCTGAAAACTTGTGTTCACATATATGTCTTTCTATTGGATTTTGTAAAGTTGGGAAGGATTCTCAGACATTTTGAGTTTGATTTTAATCTTAAAACGGACTTAAGATGTGGTATTTACAATTTCAGAGTATGGATTTAACATAAGCTTGAGACATTATTGTCCATAGACATCAATGAAATGATAATTTAGGTCAACAACTACTTGTTTTTTATTTAGTCTCAAGCATAGAAAAGTCGATTTTTAAAATATATGTTCTGTCTTAGTTAGGCATTGACAAAAACATGTTATAAATGTAAAGGTTTGTTTCACCCATTTGATATATTTATCATTGATACATCAAAATGCATCTTTCTGCTTACTTATTTTTAGAGCTTTTTCAATGTTTTTACATAATTTGGGGGAAAGGCAGCACCTTTATTTGGACATTTTACCCACAAAACAGCTTTTTTTTCCTGAATATTCTTGAAATTTCCTTTCTTATTTCTTGTAAAAAAAAAAAAATGTATGCATGAAGAAATTAAAATGCAGTGCAGAATTTTTCCATAATAACAGCTGTCAAAATATAATATGCAGCAGTTTTTTTTATATAATTGTACATTTTATGGTGTTTCACATGAAACTGAGTGAGAAACTTTTAGACGGTGTCACTTCTATTGTTATTCCCATCTCTTATATGTTGGAATAGGCTTCACAGAACTAGTGATGGTTATTTTTATGTCAGTGATAATAACTGTAGCTTCAATTCAAGCTTTTCACCCCATAGAGACGTTTATCCAAACAGACTCATGTCTCTATCCAGAGTCTGATGGTGTCGGCTGAATAGCTTAGAGCTCCGCCACCCCTCTCCTCCTCGAAAAAACCTTCTCTGATAACCGCTCATTTTACTGAACCTGATGGCTGAATCGCTATCACAACCCCATCAGGATTTATCTTTCCAGTCACTTCATTTTGCCAAACAACTGGGCTACAATAATGAGAGCTCTGCGAGGTGGATTCTTGGCCGAGATGAAAATAGGCTTTGAATCCTGGATGTCATTCATCTGTTCCCCGAATCGCACCCTTTTCCCGTCTCTCTCATCTCTTTTATCACCGGCCCTCACTCCACGCTGTCCGTGAATTGGTCTGTCTCCAAAAAGACCAGGAATCCAATTATGCTCTCAAGAGCTGCTCTGAAACTCACACAAATGTCATTCAGTTTTCCCTGAATTTTTCCTTTCCTGGAACCGAGCGGACGATAGCTCCACTAGTAGCAGAAAACAACAACAGAGATGAGGATTTTTTTGACAGGGTGCGTAGTGAAAAAAGTGGACGTTTTGACAGGTTTCCTCAGACAAATCCTTCACATCCAGCAGATTTGACACCAAATATTTGAAACAACCGTCAGCTGTATTAGAGAGGTGTTGCTGCTCAGTCTACTTGAACTAGTTTCATCTTCCTGGGTGTTTTTTTTATCTCTTTTTTTTTTAAATATGAAATAACACCTCGAGTAGCTCATCCTTGCAAGTGAACTGAAACAAACTGCTTCATCTAAGATGCAGTGATGTTTTCTGACATGCTTGTACTGTTAATAACAGAGCGAGTGGGAGTGGATTGAAATGCAATCATCGCTGTGATTTTCGGAGACAGGAGACATAAGTGCCATCAGAGGAAACACGCTGGGATTCAGCTGGAAGGTGAGAAGCTCTTCGCTGTATGGAGCTCCGCTCTGATTCCTTGAAAAATACCATCTGTCTGTCTGTCAAACCCTTAAACCTTTGTCATGTTCTTATTATTGAACCTCTTTGACAGGCGTTGAAATGATTTGATATGATTTAAGTGCAGGGAGTGTTTCATTTGGAAAAGCATGCAGGTAGTCTACTCTAACGTCTAGATTTCGTCTTTTATGGTTACCTGAACTGCATGCATCTTTATGCACTGGATGGCTTTGTTCTTTTCATAGACAGTGAGGTTGTTGTTGTTTTGCCTTCTATTTTTTTCTGTACTAAGTGAATTAAACACCCGTGTAGAGCGTTTTGTTTGCATCCAGCACATCTACATCCTTGCTATATGTCAGCTGTGATGTTTCGGACGTAGGGAAAAAAAGGATTTGTCTGTGTTTGGGTCATAAATGGATCCAGAAGCATCCCGGTTCTTCCAGATTACTCTTTTTGACCAACCTCTTCGCCCTCCACCCCTCCCTCTGTTTTTGCTGAGTCGGACTCTCCGGTGCTCTTAGAGGCCGTCGCTGGGGACGCGGCGCCCTGCAGGCTGCCATCAGGGGTGGCGGCTGATGCTGAGCGAGGGTTGGAGGCGGGGCTGGCGCTCAGGGCAGAGTCAGGGGTTCGGACGGTGCTGAGGTCTCCATCCAGGGGCGCGGTGGCTTCCAGGCTGTCGGTGTGGACCTGCTCCGTCACGGCTGGAGGGGAAGCGGCATTCAGAAGGGGCTTGTGGGAGGCGTAGGTCATCACGGCCTCCGTGTCGCTGTCCAGGGGGAGACCAGAGTGGGTGAATTCGACTCCAGAGTCGCTCATTTCCAGAAAGTTGTCAGAGGGGAGAGTGTGGTAGCGGCCTGGTTTGGAAACCTCCAGTCCCTACAGGGAGAAGGAAAGAGGTTTAAAATAGGATCAACTGTGTGCAATTTAAAATGTAGAGAGTCCTTAAACAGCCAGTGGATTTAATTAAACCATGATTCATAAAACTAATTTACTTCAGTTTAAAGTATCACAAAATGTACCCACAATCAACTGGGAACAAAATACTTATCAATGGGTTATTTCAGTGAAATAAGAAGTTCACACAAACCCAAACTTCCAAAGTCAGAGTCTCGTAGATACACCCAGAATGCAGGGAGAAACTAAGGATTAAAACATCTCCTAAATGAAAATCAATGTATTTATATAATCCTGCTGCTTTTCTGACTCACTCCAAGGTGGGTGTGACATCACGCCCACATCCAAATCCAACAAAGCATGCAGCCCTAGCTGGAAGTCTCAAAAACAGCAAGACGATCACATTTGTTTTGTGCTAATTGAATGTTTACTGAAAGAAGCTGATAATAATATAAAATAACGTTCTGCCCCATTCTATGCATTTAAACAGACAGGGAAAACACTTATGATTGAATGTTTTACAGAACTGAGTTTTGTTGGTACAAAAAGACAGGAAGAGTCAGCTTTCACATAGTTTTTTTTCTATAATTATTTATTTTGTTTATTTAAAAGGTTTGTAAAAATGCTTGGTTTAAATATTTATATCAGAATATCTGTATGAAAAAAATTGAATAGTCTGTTTCTTATTATTTTTCTGCTGCCTTACAAGGAGAAATAATTCAGTGATAAAAGGACAAACTACAGGTTTTATTTCAGATGTTAAAAGATTATTAGCAAAATTGTCAAACAGTTTTGAGAAATGCTAAAAGTGTCAGGTTTCTGTTTCTGTTATGTTTTTATTTTGAGTGTTCAGTCTTACTTTACTCCTTGTTTTCTAGTGTTTAGTTTTCTTTTCTCCATGTTTTATAGTCCTAGTTATTTGATTATTATGTTGTTGTTATTTCCAGTCTTCCAGGTTTCTATTTGTTGCTCTCTGCTGCCCTCTTATGTTCTCCTTCTTCCCTAGCTCTTTCCCTGTCTTGTTCTGTGCACACCTGCTCCCAGTTTCCTCATTAGCCCTCTTTTTGTCTCAGTCTCCTTTAAAAAGCCCTCTTTCTTCAGTTCCTCTTTGCTGGGTCCTCGTCAAACACCCTCAAACATGCTCCAACTCATTCTCTCTGAGCATTCCTCCTTATGATAGCGATTCCCCTGATGTCCCCATGGTTTCTGGTACGTTTAGACTTGTTTTCATGTTTTTGGACTCCTGGTTTCATGTTTGTTTGGACTTTGTTTTCTTTTTGGATTTTTGAATAACCTGCCTCTGTTTTCTGTTAAGTCATTATTAAATCCACAAGAGATTCACCTCTGCCTCCCTGCCTCTGCTTTTGGGTCATCTAACCATAGCCAAATCGTGACAAAAAGAAGCCATTTTTTAAACATTATCCTGGAAAACCGTTAGAGTCCTCATGTCTTATTTAGGACCATAGGCAGTATTCTAAATGCTCCCCGGAAAAATTCAGATTGAAGCATCTCCTACTTTTTGTGAAAGTTTTCTAAAAATGTTATTAAAAAAACAGCTTCTATTTCCTTTTCTAGTTCTGACCCACCAACCTCTGTTACTGCTTTTTTAACCAGTTTGAACCTGTGACTTTTTTAAATAAGATTGTTTGTTGTTTAAAGCCTGCTGGCTCTCAATATGATGCTCCTCCTTAATTTTTTCCCACTATGGGTCACTCTGTTCTTTCCATTGTTAACAGTGATCTGTCTTCAGCCATAGTTCCTACAAATTTAAAGCACAACGTGATTCAACCCTTTATTAGAAAAACCTCTTGATCCCATAATTCTTTCAAACTATACTATATTAATTTCAAAAATTCTTTAAAAGCTGGTTATATAATCAACTTAAGGCCTTTTTAGAAGAAAATGCTATTTTAGAGGTTTTCCAATCTTGTTTTAATTATTTGCACAGCACTAAATCTGCTATTTTAAGGGTTTTATGATATTTTTTTAATCAACAGATTGAGGTTGAATATAATTAAATATAACTCTAAATATACAGTCATATGTTTGTTTATATTACTTTTTTATGTATTTATTACTGTTTTCAAGGCTGCACTTTAAAAATGTATTTGTCTAGAGCTGTTTTGTATACACTGGTGTATACAAAATGACAAAATAAATCTGTCTAAGTCTAAGTTGGTTATGTGATTCTTGTTATCTTGGACCTAACTGTGACTTTTGATACAGCAGACCTCAGAATTTTACTCTCTCGTTTAATGAAGTTGGTTGGCATCTGGGATACACCAATGGATTGCGGTTGGTTAAACTCATATTTAGAAACGAACCTTTCCGTCTCCTTTGGTGAGTATCCATCGTCCTCTGTTCCCTTATTGGTGGGGTGCCACAGGGCTCAGTCTTAGGCCCTATTATTTTCCCCCTTTATCTACTCCCCCTTGGCACAATAATGAGGGCCTGGGTGGCCCTTGATTTTTAAAATTAATGAGAGTAGTAAAGAGGTCGTAATTTTCAGCAGAACATCTTAGGCTGTCTCTATTGACCTAAGGTACCTATCCCAGTACAGGAAGTAAGTTATATTAGCCTTGTACATTCTAATCTTTAATTTGGCAGCCATATTCAAGCAACTGTTAAGAAAAGTCTCTTTCTATTAAGGAAGTTGGCCAAAATAAAGCCCATTCTCTCCAGAGAACATTTAGAGATGGTAATCCTTGGTTTCATCAGCACTCGACTGGATTACAGCAATGCACTTAATGTTGGTGTTAGTGACTCCAACGTTGCTAGACTCCAGAGAGTAAAAAACATCTTATAACTGGAACTCTTTAGCATGAACAATTTATTCCCATTTTAGACTCAGTTCACTCGCTCCCTGTACATTTTAGGATTAGTTTAAAAATTATTTTACTTGTTTTTAAATCTCTCTATGGTCTTGCTCCATCTTATCTGTCTGAGCTGGTTAGCTGATCAGCTGCTTCTTGAGTTAGGGAGGACTGTGCTTTTTTTGTGGCAGCTCCAAAAATGTGGAAAAACCTTCCATTGCGTATTAAAGAGTCTCTATGTCTGATTTTAAAACACTTCTTAAAACTCATGTCTTTGCATTGACTTATAAAACAACATGAGATGATGATGTCAGCTTGTGATACTAAGTATTTTTTTCTTACAGACATTTATTTTGTTATGTGTTTTATGCTTTTATTGTTTTTAAGTCCTCTGTGTCTATGTGTCAGTTTTGCTTCTTTTCACTATAACAGCAATTTGGGCCTTTGGGGATTTTAAAGTGATTTATAAATAAAGTTGGATTGGATAATCTTAAAACAGGAAACATTTTAGCTTATTTTAATATTCAGATGTTGAGAATAAAATGTTTAGATCTCTTTTTATCCAGAGTATGTATAAATCTGGTTTATGTATAAGTTCTGAAAGGAGCAGGAAAAGTAAAGTGCATCATGTCCAACACAGCAAAACAAAATATACATAGAAAAACTATTTAGTGAAGAAAAATTTGTTAAATTAGGATAAAATATGTTTTACGACTATTTGTAAATGATTCCAAGCATAAATTAGTAACATTTCTGATTAATAACTGAACCAGAATCTAAAACTGTAGTTTCCACCTGATCCTCAAAGATGGAGTCCAATCATCCGACTCCAAAAGCTCCCTGAACCTGAAAACCACTTCACCTCTCTGCTCCTCGTTCGGCTGACAAAAGGTCCTCCCTTTAAACTTTAATCCACTTCTCTGCTGAGAGCAGCGTCTAAGGTTGATTGCTTTTTAATTAGGCTCAGCACTTTGGTGGCACTTTATTGCAGGTGTTTTCTGCTGACTAATCCCAGGGATGATTCATGACTCTTCTGTCTTTTATTGGATTTTAATTGACGTGTTTCAGGAGGAAGTTTCCAAGAGAAACTCAGGAAACAGCAGCAGCTGCTGCTTCTCCTAATAAAGAAACTTACACAAACAAAATAAACAATTGATCTCAATTAAAAAGGTCTTTTTACATTGGTATAATCAGTAAGGTTTTATAGTTTTTGCTATTTTATTTCAGTCTATTGTGTTGAGGGTTTTATATGATTGTTGTTATTCCTATTATAATAATTTAGAGGCCGTTTCTCCCTTTGTGTGTGTTTTTTTAAGTTATTTCAGCTTTTATCATAGGTTTTACCTTGATGGTGACCTCGGTGGCCTCTGAGGGGTTTTCACACACAGACTGTGTCAGAGACTCCTCTGTGAACCTGCTGTAAGCTTCCTGCACCACCTGCACAATAAAACACACACATTCAAACAGGATGAGCAGATCTGCCCCGCAGCAGCGTAACACCGCAGCAGATGAGGTTTAAATCAAAGCTGGCCATCAGAAATAGCAGAGAACATGTGGACACCCACACAATGATCACATTTAGCTCTTCACACAGACATTACACCGGTCATGTTTGCAGCGATGGAGTGGAGGCTGAGAGGAGAACACAGCATTTCAGAAATGTTTGTTCTCTCCAGGAGCAGGAGAAGCAATAACATCACAGTTCAGATAAACTCAAAAATGTTTGCTCTAAAACATTAAAACAAGTTTGGAACAAAACTGAGAGTTAGAGATTTGTGTAAAAAAAGAAATAAAATTCTAGCTTCTAGCGGTTTAATCCCCATGCAGCTTCAAAACAATCAAATGTAATAAAGCTGTGAGGAACGGCCGCGCTGTGATCAAAGTGATTGCATTGATTGTTAGTTTTTCCATTTTTTTGTCACATGCAAATGTTTTAGATCATTAAAAAATAGATATCAAAGATAACCTTAGCAAACCCAACAAGCAGTTTCCTCATTAAGAGAAGAAAAGCCGTCCAGCTCGACCTTCATCTAAGTGAAAACAGAATCACCTCCAAACCTCAAACGACTGAATAACACGTCTGTTTTATTACTGCTGGTTAGTCTAAAATACTGAAAGGATTCTTTACCGCTTTGATTGTGTTTTTGATTCTACATCTCAATTAAATTTCAGTCTGGACTTTGACTAGGCCACCCCAAAGCATTCATTTTTAAGGAATTCTGCAGCAGAACCAAAGTATCCTGAAGCAAAAGGTTAAAGAATGAGTGAATGCAACATTTCAGAGCAGCATTCAACCACCAGCAAAGATTGTTATACCCGCTGCAAAATAAACCAAAACAAGATCACAATATATATAAATATTTCTCATAGCAGATTACCGTACATCAGAACTTTGGAGCTATGTGATAAAACTTTGGACTAACTCACACTTCAAAGAATAACTGTCTGAGAAGATGTTTAGTAACTTTAAGGATTTTTATGTATACCTCAGAAGTTTTTTAACGTGTTTAGGTCTCCTAATGCAAGTCATCTAAAGGTGGAAAATGACTGGTTGGACTTTCATGTCTCTGGATTAATGCCCCAACCTGTTCTGTCGCTTTTAGACTTAGACTTAGACTTAGACTTGACTTTATTAATCCCTTGGGATTACTCCCTTCGGGAAATTGTATTTCCAGTAGCAGGAAAAAAATTGCACATACAAGAAAATAGAGGATGTTTAGACACAGTATATACAATAGAAAAATAAAAACAATTAAATAAGATGTAGGAAGTTTTTTTTTTTTTATAGGATCTATGAGAAATCAAGAACAGGAGCAGCGTTCATCGTCTCAGCCTCCACCATCACAATACAACAGATATTAAGCTGCAATAATAACAAAGTGACATTTAAAGAAAACAGGAACGCACTCACACACATGAGGACCAGACACAGACAACATGAAAGAGGGGAAGACCTGCAGCTTTAACACTTATTTATTTTATTTAGATTTTTTTTAAACAGAAATTAGTTTTTTATCATTATTTCAACAGTTATAACAACCAGGAAAAGAGGCTGAACTGATCAAATTAGCAAATTAAATCACTTTTTTAGATTTACTAATGTTTTTTTTTTAAGGTTTTTAATATTATCTATGTTGGGAATGTGAAGTTAAAAGTTTTCTGAATATCTACATGTAGTTTAAGACATTAAGCTTAGTCCAGAGGAACCAACTGTGCTGTGTTTTAGGTTTCTACTTGCTGACCCACACCTCCATTGAATGAATGTTACTTCTGCAGGACTTGGTGGGATCCTGAAGAGACGATGCAGTCAGATGTTCTAAAGCATCGACATCTGAGACCAGCAGATCAGTTGACTCCAAGAACCAGGGTTTAGAATCACTGGTTTAAGGGATTCTGAGATCTTAAAAATCATTAAATAGAGGGCGCCTCTGTCTTTCCTTTGGTTTTTAGATGCCTCCCTTCCTTAACTCAGCTAAATCTTGTGAATGACTTGAAGTCAATAAGTAGATCCTGTTGAGGGAATCAAATATTTGACTCAGGTGTTTTTATTTTTTTGATAATCTTTAATGGCCAAAACAAATTTGTTGCAATTTGAGGCAACTTAAAGAATCAAATAAACTCAATTTTTCTTATTAAACTTTTTAATTATATTATTTTCAAAACTGAACTTAATTTTCTTGCTTCTATTAGTTTATAATAATGAAAACCAATTATTAAAATATATCCCATTCTTTTTTCATATCAGTTGTTTTTATTCTGCAGTCTAACTTATTGTGTTCTACTGGGCCCATTGACGGGGCGGCGTTTTAATGGATTAATGGATGGATGCTCTATTGTTTCACTTTCGCCACATAATCCACGTCATCCTGTATCGTGTTTATCCATTAAATGTTACGTTGCATTAAGTCCTGAGTGCCTAGCTGCTTCCTAGTCATCAGCCTTTCCTGGATTCTGTTTATCTACCAGGTCTTAAGTTCTCCAAACTACTTTGTATTCTGCAGCACAGTCGTCCTTGGCCTTCTGAGTCATCCATCCTCCTTTCAGCCCTAAATCTGCAGCCACTCAGAGAAACGGCTGCTTTCATCTGAATATAATGTTTGCTAGATTTCTAATAGAGGATCGGGAAAACCTACAGTACTGAAGGATTTTTTGTAAAGTGATTATTGATGAACTTTAACCTGTCCACTCCACTGAAAGTAGCAATGCAATAGCTTCAGGAGTTTGAACAAATAATCTATTTATTTTCTTTTTAAAGTTTGAATAATGGACTCTGACATTTCTCATTTTTAATGAGCTCATTAAGTGACTTTTTAATGCAGATAGTGTTTCATTCACCTCTGCTCATAAAACTCAACAATTTGCTGTGATGCAATTTTTTAAAGATTTAAAGTTTGTTGGAAAATGGAGGAATCTAAGCTGTAGAAATCATTGGTTCTGGAGGACTTCAGCAACTCTGGAAGATCAATAAATCCAAAGTAAATTCTTGATTTCTGAGATGAAAACAATTAGAAACTTTTCAAAAACTTTACATCAAAATGATCAAAAGCTGAACATAGTGATCGATTTGTGGTCTGAGCAATAATTTACATACCATAACAGCTGAAGGTTGCAAAATTCTTTTAAAAGTTGAATGTTGTTTCAAACTGGAAGTATGTGGAAGTAGTTAAATGGCAAAAAACAATGAAGTTTTAGCCGTATTTTTTGAGGTTTCCATTCATTAATATGGGACAAAAAAAGAGACAGAAAAAGCTGAATATTTAAAAAATGATAAAGATTAGAAATACCACAAGTCATTGCAGGAATGTTTTGAATAATCTGAACATTGTTAAAGTTGAGTGGTTGAAATAGCACAAAGTATGCAGAAGTAGTAGGCATTTTTTTTTAGGTATCTATCGAGTAACTTTCGGTTAGGATAATTAATAAACTTTTACATTTTAACAAATGTAGAAAACATCCCAGAAATGTTAATTTTCTCCCACCGTATTTTATTGTGTCTGGAATTTAGAAAATTTTTTCACATGTGGCTTTTATAAAGTAAATATCACTGCTGAATAAACACATACTTTCTGGCTTTTAATATGTTCAAAATAAATTAAAGATTAAAAAAAAGTTTGAACCTAATTTGTTAGGTCTTAAATTATTTTACTACGTACAGATTGGTTATTAAATGCTGCTCAGACTGCTCTGCATCATTGCACTGTTAATTGCTCCTTCCGTGTTCGGCCTCCATGTATAATTAAAGATGCGTCGAGCAGCAAAATATGAGATATGAGCTAAAAGGAAACTATTTAAAAAACATTCACCATCCCTGAGCCTCCTCTGCAAAGCATATGGGTTGTACACGTGTAAAAAAAAAAAAAAAAAAAAAAAAAAAAGAGGAACATTGTGAACAACCTTTTACTTTGGAGAAACACAAGCTTTTAAACTATGATGGAGAAATACTGAGTCCTTTTAAAGGACAAAAAAAAAAACTCTTTTGATGAGTTTGTAGCAATAAGTGTGAAAGCAGCAGGCTTCACTTTATTACTTCCTAACATTTAATAACTCTACAATATGAACACGTCTCACGGACAAACACACACATATAAAAACAAACAGACATTTTGATTTTCCACCAAACCAAGAAGCTTAAATGACCCTAATAAGAAAACATGAATCAGCACATCCACTCAGACATAAACACACATCATGGTTTACCTTATTACAGAAACACTGAGGAGAGAAATGTGTGCAAAGGAACAAAGAATGACCCGAACCAAATGTTTTTATCTGGAAATGAAACCTTTAATTTTGACAGTTATAACTTTAAAGAAAGAAGATAATTTTCATTCAGCAGGGAGGGAAAGAAAAGTCTGAAGGAATGAATAAAATCTGATATTTAATGGGAGAACTGTGTTACTCTCTAAACTGGAAAAAAATCGATATTTAGATAAGTCATTTTTTCTTAAAATAAGTGAATTTGTTCTTGAATTGAGGAGGAAAAAGAGACATTTAGCCAATGGAACAAGACTATTTACACTTAAAATAAGAAAACACAATTGCATTGTCTTATTTCAAGTGCCTTTTATCTAAATGTGTAATTTTAAGGGTAAAAATACTAATTCCATTGGCAAATGATCTCATTTACCAACTCAAATTAAGGGTAAATACACTTAATTTAAGAACTTTTTACTGATTTTTTTAGGTCGTTTTTCCAGTGTAAGATTTTAAAACTCTAGATAGAAAACAAAAGATTCACTGGAAAAATGATCTAGAAATAAGTCAAAATTTCTTAAATTAAGTGTATTTACCCTTAATTTGAGTAGGTAAATGAAATAGTTTGCCAATGGAATCAGTATTTTTACCCTTAAAATAAGATAAATTATTTAGTATTCACTTGAAATAAGAGAATGCAATTGTGTTTTCTTATTTTAAATCTAAATTGTCTTGTTCCATTG